AAAATTAAAAATTAGTAATTGAATTAAGAGTTTATAACATACACCTGATGACGGCTCTATGAAAGCCGAAACATGTCGAGAATGTTCCATATGTAAATCGAGTACTCGATACGGAACAAAGGATAATATTTTAACCATCTAATTATCTTATATTACTTTATTGTGATTGACGGACAATTTTAATATATTTTAATACTATTTTTAAATAAAATCACAATATGACGCACCTACAATATCATATATAGTTTACTCCAGTGGTATTCAATCTTTTTTGTTCGCGTACCCCCAGATATAATTTCTCTTCAAATTTTACCCCCAAAGTTGTTGGTGTATAATTCAAGTTATACATAGTATATAATCTACATCTAAGATAAATTAAATAAATTACATTACTGATTATTCAGTGTTTATCATAAAATAATATATATATTTTTTAAAATTTCACGTACCCCCTAAGATGTCTTCGCGTACCCCAGGTTGAATACCACTGGTTTACTCCATTAAAATGGGTAATCTGCTTGAGACACAACAGTCCAACCAGAGATAGAAAATATCTAAACAAATTAGCAGTAACATCTATTAGTTTCGAAGACTTAAAGAAATCCACCTGAAAATGACCAATTAAGGTCGAAACATGTAGTGAATTCTTAATAAACATTAAAATTGTGAACAAGATTTGTTTCATAGACAGTCTAAATTTAAAAAACACAACAAGATGCGGCTTTTAAAAACCAATTCAATTTCATCTACATTTTAAATCCGATGATTGTCTGAATAATATTTACAAAAGCGAATCTATACCTAAAATTTTTTTTTAAATGTATTCATTAAAAAGTTAACCTGGTTAACGCCGTTACTGCGTGTTTTTCAAATCATACGAAACCCATGACTACACTACGGACGAAGTGACTGCTCAGTGATGCAAGCGCTGCATATAACCTGCCACGAGCCTTTGCCATCTCACCCTCCCTAACTTCATCTACCAATTAATATTTGATTTGGGGGGTTGAGCGGAGAACCAGGTCGCTCAAGTTTGCCTTCGAAGCACCCTGTCTATCGATCTGCGCCCTTTCCCGCCCACTGCCTGCCAGAAAGGATCACGTCCTACTAAAATTTCTCTGCGAAGAGAGAATTTGTTTAAGGCCTGGAGGTCCCGTCGGGATTCGGCGTGTTTTCCGGTCGAATAAATTTCTGTTTGTTCCCAAATTACATTAAAGTCCCGAATCCCAGCGAGTATTTTCATTTAATTTTAAAATATGCATCCTTCCTTACTGATATAATTTTGAATTGTTATTATATTCCCAAGAGTATGCGAGCATTGTAAAAAAATATCATAATCTTCTTTAAGATATCTTCTTATACGTATTAAAACTCTCCAAACCTAAAAGAACACTATTTTATTCGTTTCTCTGCTTTATATTTTTTATTGAGTAATGTATTTAACTGCAGAAATATCTTTCCATTTTACTCACACAGCCTGCAAATATACATTTGCCTGCATTTCTTTATTAACGGTGGAAAATTGTAACTTTGTGTGTTCTCTCTAATTTTTAACCGACGGATTTCCACAAAATTTGAAACGAACGTATCTTAAAATGTCCTGAAATCAATAATTATAAAATTCTGGATGCACAAAATTTTTACGTGTGAGCAACACCAGAAGCCACTTCGAGTTACTTGAGAACGCAGAAAAAAACATAATAACCATGGCAACCAATATCACAGCGTTAAAATACCTACCTGTAATAAGACAGACTGTAAGCAATTGTATAAATTATTCCAAAATGATATGTAAGTCTAGACTTAAAAATATATGGCTCGTGATGAATTTTGAGGTTAGACTTACATCCGACGTGGGATTACACAAACCAGTATCACGCTAATAAAATTCTCCCCGAAAATAAAATAACATTGATGGCCTGTTAGTAGTTACAAACATTAACAAATAAAACTTGTGACTATCACCATCTAAACAGAAATTAACGTATGAAATAAATTGCGTTTTATTCATTTATTATAAGTTTACGTCACGTAAACTTAACACTAACAACACAAGACATCCGTGTTATAGGTGTGTAGGCTTTGAGTACAACCTGGAACTGCAAAAACCATTTTCAAAACGAGGCTGGAAGATGCAATGCGTACTGAAATACATACCAAATTATTAATTATTTTTAAAAAAATACCTCGGTTTAGTTACATGAACAATTTCAGTTTCCAGCTTTAAGAATCGTGCTTTAATGTCTTCCGAAAGTAGAATAAATCAATATCAATACGTCACAAGACGCGTTACCTCTGTGTTAGCACATCGGATTCCTACTCGTGGGTTAGTAAGATCGAAACGAAGTCAAAAGTCAAAATCATTTATTCTTCCTTTCACCCGCCATGTTATTCTAAAATATACAAAAGAATTACCACATCGAAGTCTTTTATTTTCCGAAAATCCATAACAAACATCACTGTATGGCTTTATTTTAAGTTTGTTCGTCCGCCATTTTAGTATTACCGACTGTAGAAAATTAAAAAATTTCGATTTTTAGGTTAGTCTCCAATGGCGTAACGTCCCTACCAAATTCCTTCAAAATCCATCCAATGGGTCTCGAGTTAATTCATGCGGACCGATGGACGGACGGACAGACACAGACAGACATGAACATCCCTTATATGCGTTCGCTGTACACACATTTAGCAAAGATCGAATAATAACACATTTCGAAAGAAACAATCAAATGTGTCCATCTAGCGGTGACATGTGGAAATGATATCTGTATGTTGTAAAGCAAGAAAAATTTATAAAAATGATCACTGATCAAGTACTCATGACTCTTGATTCTTATTGTGGACGCTCCGGTAAACGTCGTCTCGAACACAGTCTGCCTTCACCGAGGTTCCTTTTGTGTTACTCAGCCCCATACTGCAAATGCAGGTCTACTTTATTTCAATCGATTATTTACTAATCTTCCCTTTACTCGATGCTACATAATTCAGAGTTACTGAAAGCGTCGTTAAATAAATAAAATTAACATCGTTGAGGTAACATGGCAATCTAAGGCAACATGGACATTGTACACACACCGAAAATATAATTGTATCGTACTCACTCTGCATGCGATGTTTCGGACTCCCGTCTCCAGCAAAGCGTCACTACGAGTTACTAATTCCAACCACAACACTAGTAACAACGATCATTACAGTCCGCACAATGCAGTCTACTTGTCATAACACACACAACATATTTATAATAATTTTAAAATTAAATAACATTCTGTATACGCCATTCTCCCGCATTAAACCTATACTAGCACTCATTTGCGAAGTCCATAAACTGATTTCCCCTTGTGAAAGCGGTTCTGACAAGGCAGGTCGAGAAACCCATCTCAACTGTTTAGTACTTAACTCCTGTAGCGCCACTAGGTACCGACGGTAATCAATGGAGTCACACTCCACACATGTACTTCCCTCTCCCCTCCATTCAAAGACACAGAACTACGGCTTTTCACCACCAAATATCCGCTGCTACCCTTCCGTCCTCCTGCCTGCCCAACCAACTGTCATGCAACTGATCGCGCATGCTCATAATGTTTCAAATCGACCCGTCCGTCTTCTACCGAAATCTACTATGCTGTGACGTCCCTCCCGCCCGCTCACCCTCCAACCGAAACATTCAAACGACATACTTCCTCATTCCATTAACAACGATTTTCCCAAAAGTTTGCCGCCTGCTAAAACATTTTAAATGTGCATGGAACTGTGTGAACTGAAATATTTTATATTTACTCTTCTCAGCCGTAGGCTTCATAACCGAATAATTTACGGTTAGTGGGTTAAGAAACTGTCTGTTCAATTTACAGAAAATATATACAGGTGTCACAAAGTGGTGTAGCCTATACACGCATTCAAATAAATAAAGTGAATCTAGTGCAGTCTATGTCATCCGTAAACACAACACAAAGAGATGGATAAAATGGTTAATATTCTGTATTATAATATGTATACTTATTTTTTGGGACATTCTGAATTACGTCAGCTTTTCAGAGCGTAGTTTTTTGGCGGTAGCTGGACAATTCAGTGGCTTGCAATTGAGAAGGCGGTGATGAAACTTCAAAATCCACAAAAGCTCTGGAATTTCTTCACGAACTAAGCGACTACTAGCTTCTGCAGAAGACTTCTAAAAAAATTTATTTCCAAAGTTTGGAAATACATTTGCTGTTTCTGTCTACATCACAAATTTATATTCTTTTTAATTTCGGGAAAATTTCTTTTAAGGTAGAACTCATTACAGTTCAATGTAATAATCCAAATATAGAGCTGTAATTTAAAAAGCTCCTTATAATATCTTTAGCCTTGCGACAAGCTTTTTTATAAAACTGTTGCAGATCAATTGAGTTTAAGAGTGTTGCTTCATATTTTGGAAGTGTAACGATCAAAACAGAGAAGTGAAGAAAATATTAACTTTTATTAGATTCGTACTTTGGCTAGGATTTTAATACGGTAGCAACATAAGATCACAGCATTATTAATGTATTAATCCGCTATACATTAAGGAGCTATTATTATCAAGCATTTCCGATAACCCAATTACATTTCATATTGTCCGCTCAACTATCATGAAAGTGGTATATATGTACATGAAAGAATCTCTAAACTCATTTATGATATATACCTGTGCCCGTGTCTTACATCGGGACGGAGAAAACCAATACACATATGAATTGCAGTGGGTTAAAATGTAGTTACCACTGATTAGTTAAATATTTCGTAAGTGAGGCAAGTTGACGCAAATGAAGTAGCATGTAAATAAAATGAATGAAGGTAAACTAGCATGCAACCATATAGACCCATAGGTATTTGTGACCTAGTTATTAAAATTTAGAAATTTCGTGTTTTTCACTAAACCTTTGGTGGTGATTACAGTAGGCCGTGATTTATGTTGGTATCAGACCAACGATCAAAATGGTTTGTTGGTATTAATCTTTAGCCGTTGACTGTGCCTGACCGGCAAGTCAGGAGTTTTGTGATGTCTGCTTGTGATATGATATGTGGTTCACATAAGCAATGTTGTTCTGTTGATACCAAATAACTTAATAATTGAAATATTTGAGTAGCATGGTAAAACTAACATGGCAATAAATCTAACAAAATACAAGGAATCGTTGCAAGCCGCATGGAAAGACGTAGTGGATGATAAGTCGGTGACAAACTGGTATTGTCTAGAGAATTATTTAATTATGTTTAAAATTTAAAATTTAATTTTGATAAGTAGGTGTGTTGCAGTAACCTCTGTCATGTGATTGGTGGCACTGTGTTGTTCTAGGGCATTATTTGGATATGAAGGCCAGACCAATGACCTGAAGGTTATCAGCAAAGGAGGTAAGGCTGCTATATTAATTGGATCCGGCATGTATAAATTTAATTTCAGCAGTGCAGGAGACTTTTGTGAATTAGTCGGTGGTTTGGACTAACACATGGAAGAAATATCGTGTTCGCACAAGGTTTCAGTGGTTGCACCACTGCAGGTGAAATATTTGGAATTGTAAAACAGGTTAAGTGCATTTATAAGTTCATTCGGAGTGCCCTGAATAAGAATTTAAAGTGTAGTGTTGGTATGTTCATGATTAAAGTTTTGAGGTACAATGAAATATGCAGAGTAGTAATGGTTTTCATCATCATCATCTATGGTGCTTTGGCCAGTTTTCAGGCCATGACTTCCCCAGTATTTATTTGATATGTTCAGTTTTCTTATGTTAGGTTAGGATTGATAAGGGTGGTTGAGATGGGGTAGGTTAGATAACTTAAAATTGTTGACATTTTTGACAGATCTGTTTCTGAGAGCTCTGTGCATTTATAAGTAAAAGTTTGCAAAGAACGTATGTAGAAACGGTGTACTATGGGATGGATTATTTTTCAGTCTTGTTTTTTCTAAAGATGGCTGTTGTCTGGGTTGTAGCGCCATGTAGTCTGGTAGAAGTTTACCGATGCCCTTGCTGCATCAGCCCAGAAGGCAGCCATCTTCAGGCTCACTTCAGTGAAAACCTCAAATCCTTCTTGTTATGTTGAATTTTGCCCCACAAGTAATTGATATGTAAAACTTCCCATCTGCAGAGCCCCATTTCAGTAGTAGGCATGATAATTTGGTGCTGCGTGGTTCCCCAAAGTGATCTTTAATGACACTGTCATTATCACCTCTTTACAATTCAGCTTTCAATACGGTGCCTCACACTTCGGCTTCAGTGTCCATCCCTATGAACATTATCCATTTCCTTGACGTGAATTTCGGCATTTTGTTTGGGATGGGGTGATTGAAGAATGCTTGTTTACTTCATTTTATAACATGGTTGTGTGGTCCTTGTCCTTGTTAATAAAATATTAGATAAAACTTCATATATAACCATTATGCATTGTGCATGAATAAGTGTTTATAAATGGTGAGTGAAACCCTTTCGTGGAAAATTAGCTCTTCTTTTATATGTTGTTAGGTATTAATCTGCCCTGTAAAAGGAGAAATGACTTTACAGTTTATTAATGTAGTCGCAAGTTCGGTGATAACAGCAGTTAGGTACAAATTGCTATGTCAGTTACAAATACCTTTTATCAGTAATGTAGTGAACAGTATATTTTCTGAATGTATTATATTTAGCTTGGATGGTCATTTATTGCTGATCAAATTTTTATCTTTTCTTATCAGTCTTGTTGATTAAATGAGTGACTGACAAGCATGATATTGATAAAGCAGACCTAGATTATGTGGCCACATTGTGTTTTCGTTTTATTTTGTTAGAAATTCTGGACCCAGGGCATTAGGAGTAGGTACTCTTTTGAGAACCCATGGTTTGTAATTTGGAAACAGCATAAAAATTCCGAACACTTCTTATATATTCTTGCTGCCTTCACTTTGTGCTTGACTTGTGTGGGGAAAAATATGAACTAAGAAATTTTTTTAGGAACGGCACCTCACTTGTTTCTCTGCGCTGTTTAATTATGTGATGTATTGAAAAATGTTTGAAATAAAAATTCTACATCTGAATCTGTATTTTATGTAGTACATAATTCTTTTTTACAGTGGTCAGTTTTTGAGAAAATGACCAGTCTGAACACAAATAATAATTTCCTTCGGTATAGACATCTTCCCCACCCCCTTCTGACATGAATGAATAAGGTAAAGTTGTCCCTGGTGATTCACTGAGCACCACATCATGAAGGAGGGGTGGGGGGTAGTTGAGGTACTACACTTTTACAGATAGACATACACAGACAAAAACCATCTTCCATTTCTTGTTAACTTTTCTGCAAGGAATACAACAAGCATAATAGGTTATGTAATTGTTGATTTCACATTTCTTGAAAATTGAAACATAGCGTAGTGTACAGTAACAGTTTTCTTCATTTTTCTCATGAAGCAATAACAGTTACCAGTAACTTCACGTCCTGTAACTTACTGAGCAATCTGGATGCCATTAATTTTGTGATGTGAGTTTATTGTGCAGTAATCTTAGATTTGAATGTGGCACCCTATGGTTGAACTTGGGTTTGTTATGGATGTATATCTTTGTTTGAGGGAACTGAAGATGTTAGGTTAGATTGTTAAAAAAATGCACTACCAGTAAAATAAATTGCAATCTACTATTAATTAACAGTGACAGATTATTTGTATTTTTCCGTATTTTCATCTTTCCACTCTTGATTTGTATTTGGATGTAGCCTAATTTCTGTTATACATTAAAATGATTTGTTTTGATTACTCTTTTTTCCGATCCATTACTTCATTTAGCAGTAGAAGACAAGTTTTTGCATACCAGGGGTAACTGTGTTTTAGTGCAGTAAATTAAAAGTTCATGGTTCAGAAGGCAAACTGAAGAATTTCATTTTTTTTTTCTCTAGTTTGAACAGTTAATGAGTTCTTAATGTATGAGACTGTGAACAAGTGAATTTGTTTAAGTTGCTGGTAGGTTCAAGTTTTATTTCTGGCACTTTAAACATTCATATAAGTCTCGTGTTAAAACTCGATTTGAGTGCGAGTTCTGTGTTTTGTATATTCATGTGGCAAATATTTGTGATTTTCTTTACCAGCGGGTGGTATTGAAGAGATGACCGAGGATTTGAATAGCGGGAAGATAATGTATGCATTTTGTAAGGTGATGGATCCAAAAACCAGTCTGCCAAAGTGTGTTCTAATCAACTGGGTATGTATCTTAGGCATTGAAGTGGTGCGCAGTTTGAGCATGACTGTTGATGTGATATATCTTAAAGACAAGCATGTATGACGGCTGTTCAATAAAGACTGAGAATGATTTTTTTTAAAACATACCACCTTTATTCAGAATCACTACAAGAGTGTTCCTTTTCAAAATATGCTCTCCTGAACTGGATATACTTTTCCCAGCAGTTTTGACACTCATCAAAGACGTTGTTGAAACTGTTTTTGGACATCATATTTAAAATCAGTTCGACAGCGTTCACTGCAATGTCTGTGGTCGAGAAGCAC